ACTCATAACGGCACTGCAGTAAAAAACAGAATATCATACATTGGCCGCGAATACTTCAATGGTGTGTGTACTGAAATAATAATATGACGGAAGTTACAGAAAACTGCCTCACCATGATATACAGAATGACCCCCATGCTCCAGATGTCGTGAGACGGTAGGTGATAGGGAATTCCCTGAAGAACTTCCGGAGCTGCGTATGCTGCGCTTCCGCAAAATGTCTTGCTGACGTCGCTAGGTTCGAAGTAACGAGCAAATCCAAAATCGGATATTTTAATGTTGTTCATACAATCCAGAAGGAGATTTTCACATTTCATATCTCTGCAAAAAGAAAACGGAAAAAATAGATGCAGGTTAGGTATATTGTAGCAGAAGAAATGTACATTTTGCAGTTCAGCTGAACTAGATATTTTTGTACTTTTAGCATTGAATTAAGAATGTAAATTTCCTATGTATCAACTTCGGAGGTCGAATCGACATCTTACCGAATTACGTATGTCCATACATTTCAAGTAGTTTGTGTCGAGAGAAATAAAGATCATTTTTGCGAAAACAAAGTTCGCCCTAACGCACACAAACACGGCTTCGGAACAGTAGAATAGGGCGACAAAAATCACATTTGATTTGCATTCACTTTCATGTGAACAGGAAATAATCAGCCCTCTGATAATAACGATTATCACACGTGCAGCAATTACCTGTGGACTATTTTCTGTCCGTGGAGATAGGCCACGGCGTAGACAATTTGTTTGAACATGGTCTGGGCACGATCTTCTGGCACTGCTCCGCGGAGTTTGATGTATTCTAAAAGATCCCCGTGGCCTGCATACTCCATCATAATATAAACCTGGAAAATGGGGGTATGAAAATATTTAAAACATAAAGAAATCGTTCTCCCTCTTTTTTATTCAAACCAATAAAGTCATCCACTAAAAAGAGTCCAACCCATCTGAAGCTGTCTATAGAATGTAACTGTCTAAAGTATTCACCTGTCTATAGAA